CCATGAAAAAAAGAAAAAAAAAAAACAAAAAAAAAAACATTAACCTTCAAGATATTTGGAAGGACGAGATCAACTTTTTGAAGATTCCCTGCACAGGACAACCTAGGTAGTATCCATTGCTGTATAGCCTGATCACCCTCTGCACTAGTAATAAAAAATGGTACATTATTTCTGATCCTTTGTGTTTGTCTATATGACTTTCCTACTTTCACAAGGGTTGGGGGGGGTGGGTGGGTTCATTTTTCAGCAAAAGTATCTTATTTAATTGAGGATTAGTTTATACACAGCTGGCAAAAGCATACAGCAATCAGACATCATTATCACAGATGACAATCCGTAATATCTTCAGTCTGACAACACAGAGGGCATAATAAGGGAGATGGCTCCACATCATTACTCTAAATGCTCACAGCAGACAAATTGCAGATTCATTGTTTGACAGTAAGCGTTGAAAATGCAGAATATTAAAGTAGATTACTTCCCATGGCTTATTTTCTTCATCTGAGCATATGCTGTATGTTTATTCTGAATGTTTAACTGTTTATGCAGTTTAATTGCTGTAAAGCTGTTAGGAGTTAACTTGTGTTTGCCTGAAGCTATAGGTGACTTCTGAGCGACTTCTGCTGAAAAGTACTTATTTTATATCAGTAGTAGCAGTGGAAGCCGGTTCCACCGGAGTGCTATTTTTTTGATTCAGAACAATGAATTCTCCATCTACTACAGTAATTTAGACATTGAGACATCCGTCAGTAATTTTTTTTACTGATGGACTTTTCTGTAGCTTATGTTCACTTCATTGCTCATCTGGATATTGTATCCTCCTAAAGTTAAGTTGCTGCATCCTTAACACTCCTGAGCTGTGGCAGGAGGCAGCTGTTTGGGCACTAATTTTCCCTCTGCTAAATCAGCCGTACAGATGCATAGTTTGTTTTGATGAGAAGCTGTTAATGTGGTAACTGACACACTCATTCCATCTTATGTTGAGAAAATTCATCGTCTTTGATATCTATGATGCAAATGACAGCTGCTTTGAAAATGGAGCCAGTATTTATGGACTATCACTGCTTTAATTTGGTTCTAGGAGTACTATGCAAGGATTTCAATGGTACATGTAGGCCGAGATGGAACTTTTCAAGGATGATATTTCAGCCAAAGGGTGTGGTTTGGGGTTTTGTTTTGCTGGTGGGGTTTGGAGGGAGTGGGGGAGCAGGAACAGTATGTTATCTCTGGTGAGATGATAGGGTCTCTTGATTCCTTGCCATGCAGCCGTGATGAGGGTTAGGCAGTACAGAAAACTGTTTTGTGGTGGTTCTAGAAGCACTGCTCTCTATTCAGGTTTGCTTTCCCACAACGTTGATGCTGCCCATTTTAGGAATTCGAGCACGAGTAAAATAGAAGCATATTAATGGAGTTGGTTGCTTTTACAGCGCTGATATTATCAATTTGCTTAGTTATGTTAGCTGTGCAAAAAATTTCTGTAATAACTGTACTAGCAGCTGTACGTGTGTAAGATAACTTCTGCTATGGAGTCAGTAAATTGGTCTTATGCCTTGCAGCAGCTATCATCATATTTTAAAAAGAATCAAAAACTCTGGGTATTAAAGACTAAACATCACCCACGGACTGATGCTTGGTTCCCCTTTTAATGCTGATTTTTGTTTATAGAAGGCTCAGAATTTGAGCTTGGGGAATGAGAAGAGACATTTTCAAAATTAAGTAGCTATTCTTATACTGAGAAACTTACGCTGTTTCTGACTGTGGCAAAATATACATCATTATGAAATACTCCAAACAGAATGAAGTGTCAAATTTCTGTGAGAAAATAATACAGATCTCTTTCAGGCTGGACCATTAACCAAAGTGACGATTTGTAAGGACAAAGAAGGAAAACCAAAGTCTTTTGGATTTGTCTGCTTTAAGCACAAAGAATCAGTGCCTTATGCAATAGCTTTGCTGAATGGAATACGTTTATATGGAAGACCAATTAAAGTGCAGTATCGGTTTGGTACGTTTGGTAGTCTCAATGATTAAGTCTTTGTACATTTGTAATTTTTTTTATGACAATTTTTGAATCCTACAGTCTTTTACAAAGATGACGATTTATAGTTGGAACAAATTACAGTCTTTTTTTTTTTTTTTAAGAAACAAAAACTTCCTGTGGCTTTTGCATAGGGAAGGATTCAGTCTTTGTATTTTTTGTTTACTAAGAGAATACAATAGATTGATTCAGAACAGCGTAACTTGCAAGCCAGCTCTGACTGCACTGTATGGAAAACAGCAACACAGGTTTTCACGCCAGATTACATTCAGAAATCAGGGTGTGATTTGTGTGATGTAACTTGCACTCTGGCAGGAGAAGTTGATTCGGTAAATGCCGCAACTATCAAGCTGTTGCTGGGTTTTAAGAATGGCTGAGGTTCCTAAAATCAGGAGCATCTCCCATGTCTGTAACTGAATGGGAATTATTCTGTTCATGATTACTTCAACAACCCTGATTTATGCTTCTGTAAATGAATAAATGATAAATGAACGTTTTCAAGCAGTAAAATGATGCTATACATTATCTGCCATAAAATGGCACCTTACCTGTATATACTACCTGAGATATTCTAGCACACTACAGATGACATAGAACACTTTCTGTGTTTTTAACTTGTTAATTGAATAGTCATAACTGAATAGTCATTTTGCTTTTGTCTTATTTACAGGGAGTTCTCACTCATCAGAACTAAACAGCCCTACACATGGTTTTGAGAACTATATTGACTTATACTCACCTTCATATAGGTAACAAAGATCTCCTGTGGATGAATTGTATGATTATTATTTAAAAAAAAAATCTTACTAAGAAAATCAGTTGATGTGGTAGAGCAATCTTCAGGCTTTTTGTTAAAACAGCTGTTGCATGCTCTAATTGCATCCTTACTGATAACTTGCAACAGTCTGTAGTTAATTTTAACATTTGGTTGTTTAGCTTGCCAGAGGTTCAGTTAGCTTGAATTTCCCATTCTTTATTTGTTTTGGCAAAATACAGGACCATGAGAAAATACTGAAATATGGTGTTTGTACTAACAATGTGTGCAGTTGTTGGGGAAAAAAAATCTGACAGTAGCAAGCAGCTGTCATGCACATATGAATGCACAGGTATAAACCTGCTATAAAGGAACTCTGAACACCCCAGATCCAGTATTTTTCGATGTTTCAGCATTTTTATTTACAAATATGACAGAACTGTCTGTGGCAGCTAAACTCCCATGGTAAAATCCAGAACTCTTTTGCATCTGAGCTTAAGTATATGTGAGGATTGCTCATGAATTGAGCCTCTGGGTGTATTTTCCTTGTTTTATCATTTTTTTCATGGAAGTCCAGTTGTTAATGTCTCAATTCTCCTCTTGAATATTCTCATTATAGCCCAAGAGTTAAATCTCAGCACTCTGGTAAGCAAGCAGTATGTGGTGGACTTCTAGTCTTTGTACGTTTGCTTGTTTTTCCTAGGTATCAAGAGCCTTATGGAAATCCTCCATTTCCTGTTACTCCTTTTCCAATGAACAATAGTTTACCTCATGAATACTCAGGCTTTCAAAAGATGGTGAGTTTGCGTTAAAAGTTAAAAATTTGGGAGCTTTTTTTATGAAGCTGAATGTATTCTGCATTTCTGCAAACAACGGTGCTTATTTAATGTCTCAAAGGTTGAGGCTGATAACTTTGACAGTATTAGGTCTATTTATTTTAGCACTTAAGGGTACTGTAATAACAGGGGATCTACCAAACCATTTTCTTACTGCAGGAATATCTTAAAGGTATATAGCTTAGGCAGGCTAAAAATGTCCAGGTCTACAGACAGAGCTCTCTCCTGTACTGTGTTCCAAATCAAATCCCGTTGGTGAGACAAGCTAACCTAGTAAAATTACAACCATGCAAGCAATAGCGTCTTCATATACAGCTAATTCAGCCCAGGAAACTCTTAGCTCTTGTACTTAATTCAGAAATGCCCAAGCAGAAGTTTGGAATGTCATAAAACCAAACCTAAAGCTCACCCAACATATCACCACTGCCCAAGTTAGGGCAACAACAGCATGGGGGTTTCTGGCCTGAACCTTTACATGCCGCTGCAGTTCTCACATTCATGATTTACTTTCATAGCAGTAGACAGCAAGAACCCGTATTCCACTTCCCCTCTAACAGACTCTGGTGCACTGGGCCACTCTTGCCCTAATCTCTTTTGTCTGAGATGCTCCACAAGGCAAAGGAACTGGTCTCTTCAGATGGCAACCTGTGGGCCAAACCCTACTCACCAAACATACCACAGAGCTTCTGAATCTGATGAATATGGATTGGTAGGAGTAAAGAAACCCAACATTTAATGTGAGGTACCAGCTGTGGACAGCACTGCTGCCACCCAGTCTGGCTGGGGAATGGCCAGCCCTTTGTAACTCTAGGGGGTGTGAAGTCTGGGTAGATTAGCTAGCTGCAATCTGAGCAGGAAAATGGAGAGGGTCTGTTCCCTGTTGCCCTCAGAAGAGCTGGTGCTTGCACAAGCTTTCCCATTCCCTCCACTGTAGTTGGAAGGCTCGGGAGTGCACCATCCCCCCCGCTGTGCTTGCCAATGAACCCGCTCCTCGATGCAGTACATAATGCAGTCTGTAAGCACCAAGAGACCAAACTCGGCAGACCAGCACACACAACCAACTTCATCCCATTTTCTGCTTGCTGGAAGGGATGGCAGTGTGTCTCCAATGACAGTTTGCTATAGCTTCTGCAGGAAGCGATCTTGTCACATGCAGGTCTTCACACATCTACCTCACCTTCATTTGGGAGAACCAGGCAGGTTACTCACTTGGAGTCTGCCTGCACATGTAACATACTCAGATGTGCTCCCCATCATTTTTCTGGTTACTGCCAGTCAGTAGAAAGCCGCTCTTTTCTGACCTTTGTAATTCTGTTTCTGTATTTGGGCTGTGCATTTTGCATGAGAGGGACTCTTGGGGTACTTTACAGAATCACAGAATCGCAAGGGTTGGAAGGGACCTCCAGAGATCATCTAGTCCAACCGCCCTGCTAAAGCAGGTTCTCTTAGAGCAGGTTACACAGGACTTTGTCCAGGCGGGCTTTGAATATCTCGAGAGGGAGACTCCACAACGCCCCTGGGCAGCCTGTTCCAGTGCTCCATCACCCTCGGAGTAAAGAAGTTTTTCCTCATATTCAACTGAAACCTCGGATGTTTCGGTTTGTGCCCATTGCCCCTTGTCCTGTCTCTGGGCACCATTGCAAAGAGTCTGGCTCCGTCCTCGTGACTTCCACCCTTAAGATATTTGTATGTGTTGATGAGATCCCCTCTCAGTCTT